GAGGGAGGAGGGGGAGATGGAGGGCAGGAGGGGAAAAGGGGGAAGATGGAGGGTCAAGAGACGAGCTGGCGTGGCGAGATGTGCACCTCTTGTGCTGCATACACCGTTCCCCCGGCCTCAACCACACACACAAGCTTGCTCTTGTTGATCGCTACACCGTTTGATGACACCACTACCCTGTTCATTGTTCACATACCCAACCCCATACCACGCCGGGCCCGCACCCACACCTGCACACCATCCATGCACCGCAGTGGACCAGCTGACAAAGTTCAACCGGCGACTGGCCGACCTGTCCCCAGGGCCCAACCCCCACCTCATCGACGGCATCGTGCTCACCAAGTTCGATACCATCGACGACAAGGTCGGGGCCGCTCTGTCCATGGTCTACACCTCGGGCGCTCCCATCGTCTTCGTGGGCTGCGGCCAGACCTATGTCGACCTCAAGCGGCTGCACGTTAAGAGCATCGTGGCAGCGCTGCTCAAGTGAGGGACTGCCGTGACGTGCGTGCTGGCTTGCAAAGGCCGACAGCCTGCCCCGGGTCGAGTCGTGATGGTGCTATTGCACCGATCCATGTGGTGTGCACGTATCAGGGGAAGAGAGGTGTGCAAAGTCTACGAGGTGGCTGCATCGGCGCAACAACTCAACAACCTGATATTCTTGACGGCAATGTATGAAGAATGTCGCAAGCTCGGTGTGGGACACCCCATGTGTAGTAACGAGTGTGTCGCTGGCTGTAAGCCGCAATGACATGGGCCTGATGCACAGGGCAGGAGCATCCCATCAATACGCAAGCGCATCACAGCCTTGCAGAGCGTCTATCTCCATGTCGTCATCGTCCTCTCTGCTGGAGCCTGAGGTCTCAAGCCCAACAGGGCCACCTCCTGTCTGTTGCAATGGGGCCGCTGCAAGTGCTGCCCCTCCTTCTGCGGGCACAGGCTCCACGTAAAACAAGGCATCCACACCTTGGGCAGCCTCGTCCTGCATGTCGTCATGACCCACCTGAAAGACGAGGGATGGGAGAGAGCACACCGGGGATATAATCGTGCTGCGTGTCATGGAGAGGCAGACGGAGCTGAAGGACTCGTTGCAAACACCAACCGACCTGCTGGGTAGCTGTGTTCCTGCCTGTCTTGCTTCCACAGGCAATCTGGCCCCCTGCTACCGGCACGAGAGCCGCCGAGTTCATCTTGTGGAGATCGCTCCTCCTTAATTCGAGTGCATGTGATGGGACGGGTCATTCGTTGCTACGGCTGGGGAGTATGTCCCATGTGTACAGGATGTCCAAACTACTTACCGCGGAGCATGCCCAAACTGAAACAGCGGTGGCCTTTGGAGAGGTTGTCCACTGATATAATGTCCAGGACCCGTTATATAAGAAGTTAACATGGTTGTAGCCTACCACGCCGCGAGGGCCTCATCAATTGGCGTTCCGGAAGGTTTCGGGAGCTGCAGCTGCCAGGTGTGGGTGCCTGGGCAGCACATGGAGATGATATCTCAAGACACATCCACAGCGGACAAAGATGCCCAGCGGGCTCTATCTCTACGTTCAGCTTCCATAAAGTGGGACAGCACACATGCATTGCGTCTCTGATGTGTCTGTTATATTATCAAAGCCTCCCTTGTCATTGCGACTTGCACACTGTGGCTTTGTACCCACGTGCGCACGAGAAGGACAAATCTACATTGAATGACAATGCATTCAGACAATGGGTGGCTTCTGCTATCTTTTTATTTGAAGAGCCTTTGGTATTGTCACGATCAACAGTTACTGTTTGATGTTGTTAAGCAGGAGAGGGCAGCTGGCATGAAGTCGGGGATCCCAGCCCTCGCACACAATAGGTGCATGATACACTCCCGCAAACTGCGAATCGTGTCACCCCTATTCATTCTTTGATCCTGAATGAGCTTCACATTTACCAGCATGCCACTCCATGTCCGGCCAACAAGTTTGCATCCTGGCCCAACCCCATGCCGTTTGACAACGCGGGGATCAGCATGGCACCCCTGCAGCCCACAGTCAAGACCGGCAGCAGCAAGACCTTCACCGGTACGTGGTCCAGGAATGGCGCTGCCGCGACGTGCAGCATTCGCGGTGCCACACTCCGTCAACTTTACTCTCCGGCTTGGCCCTCCCCCCTTGCAGGTTTGCTTCGGCCGGAAGAAGACGATCGAGGAGATCAACGCCTCTGAACCCACGGGCGTTGATCCTGGCGGCGACATTGGTCGGCTGGCACCCAAGGACGAGCACGGTAGCGAGAAGAGCAACTCCACAACTGAGAAAGCTGGTGAGGTGGGGGCCCTGCACGGCATAGTACACGAGACACAGTTGGCAAGGGTTCTTTCCCGTGGCCAAGAGAGCAGACCTGCACGTGAAACCCACAATGGCAATGCCCAAAGTGCTTCGATGCCTTGGCTACTGTGGGCGAAGGTGACAGCTGAGATCTTGCACTTGTTGCCCCCCTCCCACCCCATGCCCACCCTATTTCCCCGCCAGGACCCTCAGCCGGTGTGCCTCACCAGGAGGGCTACACTGAGCGGACACAGCGGGCTGTCGAGGAGAACGAGGTGGATGCCCAGGAGCTTGGCTTCTCCGCCGCGCGCTCCGACGCCAAATTCACAACCGCCGCGAGTCCCGGCGACCACCACAGCGGCGCGACCGACGGCGACAAGCCCGTGGGAGGGGATGGCGCACAGATTGCGGGGGATGTGGAGTGAGCTTTGCGAGGGTGATGCACAAGCGTGCCCTGGCCTGCTCAATCTGCCTGCCAGTATGCTGGCAATCGCCGGCATGGCTTGCTCATCTGCACTCTGTCGTCCCCCCCATCTGGCCACTGCTGACGCTGAGAAGTCGCCATTTAAGCTGCCATACATTTGCACACGGTGCGCATACATGTGGAGGACTGCACGCCTTGGTGAGGCATCCTGGGATCCTGAAGTGCTGGAGGTTCATTGCGTTACAACGGGACTTAAGCGTCCGGCCGGAGATTGGAGCATGCTCAGGCTGTCGCAGCCTGCTCCAGCCCGGCCGCAAGATCGCGCAGCGGCGGCAGCGCGCCCTTTCGCTCAAACTTGGCTTCCAGGCGGGGCGGTGGCCGCGCCGGTCGTGGCAGCAAGCGCCCCTTCTTCGCAAACCACTCGGGCTGGGTGAGGGCCCTGAGTCCCAGCGCATTGTAGTACACCGTGGTCACGCTCCCTCCCGCCGCCTCAATCGCCTGCCTCGCGATGGCCGAGGCTTGGCTCACCTGGGGCATGGGCGAGGTAGGGGGTCAAAGGTTTGGTTGACCCATCACCTCGAACATAGTGTGCCTCAAACATTCATGCCTACCCATCCACTGGGCATGAGACGACCATTCACACAAGGCTAGAGCCTACATGTCCGCACATTTCATCATTCCCATCAGTCCCTGCTTGCCTCGATGTGGACCGGGATGTTCCAGGACTTGGCCCCGCGAGCCAGCAGCTTCACGCCATCCTGCAGCTGGTGCCCCACAGCGTTGGAAGCGCGCAGCTCCCGCATCGTGATGACGCGGCTGGCGTCCAGGCGCCCCTCCTCGATCCACTGGCGCAGGGTGGTCAGGTTGAGGGGGTTGTATGTGCGCTTGAAGGGGTTGTGGAAGCCGCGCTTGGGGATGCGCAGGCGCTGAGGCGTCTGCCCGCCCTCGAAGCCGGGCTTCACGCCACCCCCTGTGGGAACAAGAGGGAGGGAAGGCTGGAGTCCAATGGTGCAGATGTCTGGTCAAGCTGTTGGATTGCTTGCGGTCGCACATTCATACGCACGGCAGTGATGTTGGGGCTCAGAGATTTCAGACTTTGTGGTTCGTCTTCTTGGTGAGTGGTGCCAACCCGATAGTGACAATTGCACATGCAGCCCTGCCCCCCTGGCTGTCCAGAAAATTGTTGCCTGATTGCTGCAGCGCTGCGCACCTGACCGGGAGTTTTGGCCCTTGTGCCCTTTGCCAGATGTCTTGCCCAAACCAGACCCAATGCCACGCCCCAGTCTCTTGATCTGCACGGGTAGCACAAGGTGAGCAAGGGTACTCCAGATATAACAAGCACTTCCAATAATTATCAACATCCCCTCCGCGTACCGAATGCGTTGCGCCCGGGTTATCAGCTATTGTGTTCAGAGCTACGTAGCCTTCAGGCACAGGGGTGGAGTACCACCGCATGCTGCATGCTCCAGCAGGCCACAGGGCGCTGGCGGCAGCGCTGGTCCCGGCAACACCGCAGTTGGAATATACGGGCAGGGTTGAGGCGGACGGGCCAGTGGCCGACAGCAAGGCGCGCAAGCTCAAGAGCGAGCGAAGCCGTGCCATGGCTCACACCCCTTCACAGCGCGGTCGCGGGCAAACAAAGACCACGTCAGTAATCGCGGAAGTAGTAAAGTGGATGCTTGGGGGAACCGTGCGTTCGGAATGAAGCTCATGTCCCATGACCGTGCTGCGGCTGCTGCGCGTGAATTTCCTAGCCCGGCACCCTGCTGGCGTGTGAAGCCAGGTTCGCCTTTCCGAGAGTGAGGAAATAAACTCGATTACAATATAACTGAGTTCTGCCGTCCAGGGAGGAGTGAATCTGTGGACATCTGGCAGATCCCCCAATCATGGTAGACTTACTGGACCAGATCAGCTGGGGGACCCTCGAATGCCTGAACGAGAAGCCAGACCATCCGATCGGCAATGCCTTGAAACAGGTGCGGAAGATGCCCACAAGTTCTGTTTTTGAATGTGCCGGGAGATGCATTGCCCGGGAAAGCTCCTGCCGGTCCTGAACAGTGTCACCCCACTTCACCTGTGCAGGGCTTTAGGGAGGATGGGGGACTGTACCTGGAGAGCGACACCGACGAGCAGCTACTCATCCACATTCCCTTCTCCAGCGCTGTAAAAATCAACAGCGTCATCATTCAGTCTAAGAGTAAACCGGAGCAGGTGGGGGGTGGGGCTGCCACGATGGCAGTGGGGTCCCTTGCAGGCCAGTCCGTAGGAATGCACCTTGCACGTCCTCTTCATCTAGAGTGTGGCTGGCACCACCTCATCGTCATTCCTGGTGACTCACAGGAACACTGCATACATCACCCCATCCCTGTGCATGTGCAACTTTCCATTCCAGGCACCACGCTCTGTCAAGCTCTTTGTCAACCGGCCGACGATAGGATTCTCTGAGGCCGCAGACACGGCTGGCCAGGCAGACGTTGAGCTCACCCCTGCCCAAGCCGCTGGAGAACCCATCCCCCTCAAGTGCGTATGCATCCCGGGAGATGGCAAGCACCGCAGACGTGTGTGAATTGTCTGCTCATGCCGGGCCCTCCTTCCCAGCGCCAACACCTACCCCCGCACATCCTGACCGCCGATTCCTGTGCTTGCGCAGGCTTGTGAAGTTCCAACGTGTGTCGGTCTTGACCATCTTTGTGGCGGACAACGTCGGCGACACGGAGAGTACCGTCATCGAGAAGCTTGCCATCCTAGGCAGCGCAGGTGACAGCTTCAACGTCGCGGAAATCAAGGACGTCTCCAAGGAGCAGGGGTGACGAAGAGGCTGACGGTTGCAGCGCCTGAACCACGGTGGCCTGATGTGAATGAGCCCAGCTCTGTGGCTCGGTGCCTGTCTCACAGCAGGCTGTTGGGCCACTGGATTACCCTCCAGTGTCCACCGTCACCCGCGCACCTTGGCAAGCTCCCTCGTCTCCCATGGCATAGTAAGCATGTAACACACACAACAGGTGCACTGCAGGCCATCAGCATCATGCAGTATTGACTGGAAGGGGGGAGCAGAGTCGGGCTTCGGGGTGACCTCTTGGTGAAGGACTCCTCCAACTACGAAAACTTGAACTATGGAGATCTCGGGGCGAGCCGAGTACAAGCTAAGATCGGCGGTCCACTCACTCAGTCGGTGGAGGTTGGGGGCCTGGTGTGTGGGGATGGGGTGTGTGTGAGCGCATGCCTGGGCCACGCATGCAGGGCTCTGCTTTTGGAAGGTTTCACCTGAGATGTTGCAAGGCAGCATGTGCAGCGTGTCACCCTGCCACCCCCGCTCAACAGCCTGAGCATGCCGCAGCGCTTTCCCAGCCCCCGGCTCACCCTGCAGCTGGGCCAGAACTTGGCGCAGGAGACTCTGCACGGTGGGGTTGTCGGTCCGGCCCTGGAAGGAGGTGCCCATGTCGGCCAGCAGCCGCTGGATGCCCGCCAAGGCCTCTGCCGGCACGCCCTCCATCCCGGGGGCTGCGGGTTCGGCCGCGGCACCGACTGCCGCGGCAGCGGGAGCGGGGGGTGCGGGGGCGGCACGCAGCTCGCCCTCCTCCCCCTCGTCCTGGGCGGGCGGCGCGGCGGTGTCCCGAGCCCCTGGCGGGGGCGGCGGCGGCGGCGGCGGACTCTCCCCAGACGCTGCCTCGGCGATCGGCGTGGGCGCCGAGTCGGCCAGCCCGGCTCCCGGCGCGGCTGCAGCCGCCTCGGGGCCCGCGGCCTCGGCGGCGCTGGGCATCCCAGCCTCGGCGGACCCAGGCACCCGGGCCTGGATGGCCGCGACCACTCCCGCCGCGGCCAGGGCCTCGCTCGCCCTCGCCGCTTCCTCCTCCCCCGCGCCCGCCGGCGCGAGGCCGCCGCTTGCGGTCGCGCCGGCACCGGCGGAGGTGGTGGCGGCACCCCCCACTGCCCCCGCACCCGCCGCCGCCGCGCCCCGCGCCCCGGCCAGCGGCATCGTGTCGTCCGACGCGGTGTCCTCGCTGCAGGTCGCCGCGGGCGGCCCGGCCCGGGCCTCGGGCGCCCGCGTTAGCTCGGCGCCGCGCGCCGCGGCGGGCCGCTCCTCGGGCGCCGGCGCGCTCCTCGCCGCGCCATCCTCCGGCGCGGGGCC